CTTCGATCAGGAAGTCAACAACCGCATTTGGAATAAGCGTTGTAAAAAGCGCACGCCCGACAATGAGCAAGTAACGTTTAGACTCTTTGCTGCAGCAGCACGAATAGCTTCAAGATGCATATGAACGAGCTCCCACCCTCCCCATCCTTCCTTCCTCTAGGTGCGTCTGCCACTCATAAAGTCCTACCATGTCGCTGCGGTGTAAAGTGCCTCGGGTTGTCGAGGAGTCCGTCACGCCGCAGTATAGAATCTAGACCCTAGACTTCCTATGATGGCCTTTTAGGTTAATGGAACTGACCGAATTGTTATCTAGGGAGAGGTTTGCATTGCGTCGGGTTTGGCCGCTAGGTTAGTCTTACTCCTTGCCGCAGCTTGTCACTCGTATAGTTACGCTCCCGTTGAGACGTACCCGATCATGACTCATCGTTGCTGCTATCTAGATGTCGATAGCGTGGTCCTTTTACATGTAACGATTGTGTAATGCCGTCTCATTTCATACTTCAGCCGCTGCCTCCGCCGCCTCTACCAATAACCCGCCCATCATCGCCCCTTCGGAAGCTCGTAGGTCCTCCTGAAGACGCCCCTCGCTATTTGGTATCAAGCTTGGCTGCAGCCCCTGGTGCTGTTGATGCTAATAAGAGTATGGTTCTACGTTGTGTTGCTGGTGACGGTCAATGCTTCTATCGCGCCCTCCTGCTCGGCTACTACGAACCGCTAGTGTGGGCCCACAACGACCATGCCTACCACTGCCTGTCTCGTGTACTGGGTGAGGAGTTGTTGGCTTCCCCTGATGTTACCGATGGTGAAAAGTCCCTAGAAGCGTACAGGTGTATGGTGGCGGACCCTCAATGGGACAAGGCGCTCATTTCGAAATGCCGTGCTGCTATCGCAAGGGCGGTCATGAGTTGCAGCAAGACTGTCGAAGCTGAGGCAATACTAGCCGCTGTTGGCTCGGTTGACGTGCACTCAGCTGTCCGCGATTTGGTGCTCAATACGCGGGCCGACGCTGAGGCTTGGATTCTCGGTTACGCGGCTAGAGCATTCGGAGTGAACATAGCAGTCTGTGCTCCAGGGTGCGCTGCGATGGATATGGCTGTTCACAAGTGTGGTGAAGATGATGCTAGGGTGGTTACTCTACTCTATACGGCTCCGGCTACGGAGGGTGGTTGTGGTCACTACGACGTTCTCTATGATAGAGCTGAGACGACTGCCGCTGCTGCTGCTGACTTTCTTTTCCCGGGAAAGTGCAGTCGATGCCGATCGAGTAAACTTCTGCCTCAGCGGTTGCTATCGTGGCCTTGCGGGCATTGGCTCTGTCGTGAGTGCGTCTTGAAGGACGTCTACGAATGGTCGTGTGTACCGTGTAGACGCAGCAGAGTGTTGTGGCATAAACGTATCCTCAGCGGCGATGAGCAGTACGGTGCCCGACTAGCTAGTAAACGCATATAGGTTAGGAATGAGCGTTTGATCGTCCATGTCTGATTCTAAAGTTTAAATGTAACATTTTGATCTAGTGTTGTCACCTAGATCTTTACATTGTTGATTATCACCAGTTGCATCGGTTCCATCTAGTTACCAATGGTACGCGTTCTCGCAAGTGTGGTTGCGCTTTCCATATTGTACGGCATTCATGGGGCTCCTGCTGCCAAGGTGAGTTGGGCTCATTCTTAGGGTGTTGCTCTTACTACTTGTATCGACTCATCACATTGTTACATAGGATGCGTCTAGTACTCCTCGTCCGAACATAGTTCAGTACTGCTGTTGTTGCTACTATTGCGCCAGCAGTAGAATCCACTACGACTGTCGTTCCCACCGCTGCGTCTGTTGTGTCTACTTCTGCCCCAACTAGGAGGGTTGAGATCAGCGTTGCGCCCCCCGGACTACGATAGAGGTCTCCAGTGGCGCCGATGTTCAGGTTGCTGTCAAGGAGGCCACGCGTTCGACATCTGCTTCTGCTGTTACCGATGATCTCATAACCTTCGAAGGTGCGAAGAATGTCGTCTATCAGACGGCTTTTTACTGGGTTGATCTGGCTAAGTGAGATGTGACTCGAGCGAAGCCTTCCCTCTCAGTGCGTAGTCAGGTTCTATCGGGACATTGTGGTAGCTATGTTGTCGAAG